GGGGGGGGGGGGAGAAAAGGAGTTTCACAACCCCCAAAATGGGGGATTTTGGTAAATAAAGGGGATCGAAACCTGATATTTTTAATAGGAATTAATTTTATTGACTGGTGTTGGGTTTAATCTGGAGTTTTATTGACTTTATTTTATTTTTAATTAATTGCTTTATATGTGTGCGATTAATCTATTTAATCTAATTTTCATTTATTTAATTTCTTTTAATTTTGTGAATTTAATTTATTTTCTTTCTTTTATTTCATGTTTTCTCTCTTTAATTTATTTTTAGACACTTAAATCCTGATTGACTCCATTTATTTCATTTATTTTTAGATCTTTCCTTCCTTTTTGTTCCTTTTATTTCACTTATTTATCTTTCTTTTATTTAATTTATTTTTAGACATTTATTTCTTTGATTTTATTCCATTTATTCCCTTGATTTTTATTTCATTTCTTTCCTTTAATTTTATTTCTTTAAGTTATTTCTATATATTTGCTTTCATTTATTTTTTAAATGCATTTATTTACTTAATTTTCTGGCATTTTTTTCATTTATTTTTGTGCATTCAATTTATTTTTATTTCTTTTCTTTCTTCCATTTTTTTGTCATTTTTCTGTTGTTCGTTCCTTTATTTTTATTTCTTTTATTTCCTTAAATTTATTTTTTTATTTCCTTTAATTCATTTCTTTTATTTCCTTGAATTCATCTCAGCCATTTATTTTTCTTTAATTTATATCAGTTATTTATTAATTTTTGTTGTTACTTTATTTCTATTTAATTATCTTATTTTTAGATATAAAATAACGTATTTTAGTTTTTATTGTTTTTAATTTCACTTATTTTTATTTCATTCTCTTTCATTGATTTTGCGTATTTTTACTTATTTTTATCTTTATTTCCATTTCTTTATTTCTCCTCTTTCCATTTATTTCATTCCATTTAATTTCTTTTATGTATTTTATTCAATTTATTTTAAATTCCATTTATCCCCTTTATATTTTAAATTCCTTTGAATTTCTTTGACGCCTTTTATTCAGTTTATTTTCTTTATTCCATTTATTTATTCCTTTTCTTTTCTTTTATACCCTTTATTTTCTTTAGTTCCATTTATTTATTCTATTTATTTATTTCCTTTTATTCCATTTATTTCCTTTTATTTTATTCCATTCCATTTATTTCCTTTTAATTCAGTTTATTTTCTTTTTCTTCCCCTTATTCCTTTTCTTTTATTCAATTTATTTATTCCATTAATTTTCTTTAATTCCCTTAATTTTATTTTATTCTCTTGATTTTCTTTTTATTTCGCTTATTCCATTTATTTATTCAATTTATCTTCTTTTATTTTCATTTATTCCCTTGATTTTCTTTATTCCTCTGCTCTGAAACACCGAGAAAAGAAATAACAATTAATAAAATAAAGACGAAAATAAATAAAATCAAGTTGCATGTCTTTTTGCTTAAGACATAATAATAAACAATAATAATAATAATAAACTAGCCTGTGTTTTCACTAATAATAAAAATACATTTGGGCATTTAGAATAATAAGTATGGATAAGTGGGAATAAATATAATAATTATAATTTAATAGTGTGATTATATCAGAATATAAATGATTTATCTGCAAATAAAGTAAGAATAATAAAAATTAAAAATATAATAAATATAGTTAATATTAATACCAATAATAATAAATATCAAATCACATGTATTTCTACTAAAAATTCTAACAACCCATTTTGGGGGGAAAAATTTACAATTATTTCTAATAAAATATTGCCGGGAATAGGAATAAAAATGCTGTGAGGATTTCTGCTGGGAGTAGTAATAATAATAAAGCATGTGGTTCTGCTAAAATAAAAATTAAAGTATTTCTACTACTAATAAAGAAAGTCGTATTTCTGGAAAGCAAGTCCTATTAATAATAATAATAAAAAAACCAAAGTAGATGTGTTTCTAATAAAAATAAGAATAATAATAATAAAAAAGAAGAAGAAGTAAAATTAAAAAATAAGGCTAATAAAAATTAAAAAATAAACTAGGACATATTTCTTCAAGAATGGTAATGATAACAATAAGAGCAAATATTATTTATAATCATAATTAAAAATTAAATTTGAACTATTCCTGTGAAGAATAATAACAATATTAATAAATAAAGTAACGCGTATTCCTGCGAATAAAGAATAAAAAAAGTCAGTTATTATTAACAACAATATTAAAAGATAAAGTAGAAGTTGTTGGTGCAAATAGTATGAATTAATTAAAATAAAATAGCGCGGTTTTCTGCTAATAAAGATAGAAAATAAAGTAGAAGCTTTTCTGGCTAATAATGAGAAGAAAATAAAGGATACATTGTTGATAATAATTATAATAATAAAAGAAATTAAACTAGCGTAATAATAGTAGTAATAATAATACTATAAATAACAATGAAAATTATTATAGATTATCTGTAATATAATACACAATATTATATATTTATATAATAAAATATATTTTATATATGAAGTATATTTTTATATAATATTATATATTATAAGACAAATTTCTACTAGGTTATAGTAATAATAAAATAAGAAATTTCCCAGAAAAGAATAATAAAAATCAAATAGAAAATTCAATAGAACCAAAAAGAATAGAAAATAACACACTTGAAGAATTAATAAAATTCGTGAAATTACTGAAACCTACCAAAATAAGATCCGACTTTACCGAGAAATCTCTGTATTTTGGGGTCGGCAGCTGCTGGTGCCGGGGGCAGCCCCTTTTTCTCTGCTAAACCCGCCCGGTTTGGGACTTTCCTGCGCAGCTGCTGCCGCCAAAAATAGCCATTAATGGACCTGAAAGCCTAAAAAGGGCCTTTTTCCCTCTCAGATTTAGTCCTTTTTTTTCATTTTCAGGGTTTTAATTACAGCTGCTGCTCTCAGCACCTGAATTTTGGGGTATTATTAAATTTATCCCACACCTCCCTCCGTGTTAGGGCTAAAAAGGTCTTATTAGGGCTGATAACTAAGTCTGTTTGGGCTAACAATTCAGTTTATTTGGCCTTATAATTAAATTTATCCCCCCCCCCATCAATTAGGGCTAATAATTAAGTCTCTTAGGCCTTATCATTAAATATATTCCCCAGCCTCCCTAAACTAAGGCTAATAATTAAGTCTATAAGGGCTAATAATTGACTTTATTCCCCATCCCGCCTAAATTGTGGCTAATAATTTGGTCATTAGGGCTAATAATTAAGTTCATCCCCCGTCCCCTCTTAATTAAGGCTAATAATTAAGTCCGTTAGGCCCAGGGTGTGATACACAGCAGGGATCCAGGCTCGGGCATCGGGAGGTCGCTGGGAATGGTTGCGGTTTGGGGCAAAAGATTGAGATTTGGGACAAAACTGAGGTTTGTGGCAAATTCTCCAAGGTTTGGGCCTAAAACCAGTTGAGGTTTAGACCTAAAATACTCAAAAACGGTCGGGTTTTGGCATAAAAAGGGTCGAGGTTTTGGCCAAGAAATGGTCGAGGTTTTGGCCTGAAAACAGTCAAGGTTTTGGCATAAAATTGGTTGAGGTTTTGGCCAGAAAATGGTCAGGTTTTGGCCAGAAAATGCTCGAGGTTTGGGCCTGAAAACGGTCGAGATTTGGACCAAAAAAGGTCAAGGTTTGGCATAAAACATTTGAGGTTTTTGGCATAAAATTGGTCGAGGTTTTGATCAGAAAATGGTCAGGTTTTGGACAGAAAATGCTCAAGGTTTGGGCCTAAAAACGGTCGAGATTTAGACCAAAAAAGGTCAAGGTTTGGCATAAAACATTTGAGGTTTTTGGCATAAAATTGGTCGAGGTTTTGATCAGAAAATGGTCAGGTTTTGGACAGAAAATGCTCGAGGTTTGGGCCTAAAAACGGTCGAGATTTGGCCCAAAAAATGGTCGAGGTTTTGGCATAAAACATTTGAGGTTTTTGGCGTAAAATTGGTTGAGGTTATGGCCAAAAAACGTTGAGTTCTGGGCCTCGAAACGGTCGAGGTTTTGGCCTGAAAATGGTCGAGGTTTGGGTCCAAAAAATGGTCAAGGTTTGGACCAAAGAATGGTTGAGGTTTGGTCCAAAAAATGGTCGAGATTTGGACCAAAAACGATCGAAGTTTTGACCTGAAGTGGTTGAAGTTTTGGCCTGAAAGGGTCGAGGTTTTGGCCTAAAAAAGGGTCGAGGTTTTGGCCTAAAAAAGGGTCAAAGTTTGGGCATGAAACGGTCGAGGTTTGGGCCAAAAATGCTTGAGGTTTCACTCCAAATGTTGAGATGTTGGACAGAAATGGTTGAATTTGGACCAAATGGTTGAGACTTGGGGCAAAACCAGTCAAGGTTGGGGGCAAAGGGTTGAGGCTCAGGGCAAGGACCTGGGTTGGGTGAAGGGATGGAGGAAGATGTGGGGACCCAGCGCTGGGATGTGGGGGCATGGACATGGGGTCAGGGCCACCAGTAGCACCATAAATATAGCCATCAGCATTTTTGTCCACCCCCCACCCCAGGGCCTTTAAAGACCCCCGGGTCCCACCATGGAGGCACCATCCCCGGCGTCCTCCTCCTCCCCTTCAAACCCTTCCTCTTCTCTTCCCCACCATGGGCGCCCACTTGGCCACCACCTTCCTCCTCCTCCTCCTGGCCGCCCTCCCAGGTAGGACCCTCATCTTCCCTCCCCGCCCACGGAGATGGAGGACGAGCCATGGGGGGACCTTGGGGGTGACTCAGTTGTCTCCTTCCTCTCTCCCTCCTCAGGGCTGCGGGCGGCCGTGGAGCTGACGGCGTCCGGAGGGGGCCTTGTGACACCTGATGGGTCCCTCACCATCGGCTGCAAGGGCTCCGGCTTCACCTTCAGCAGCTTCACCATGTTCTGGGTGCAACAGGCACCTGGGAAGGGTCTGGAGTTCGTTGCGGGTATTAGCACTGGTAGTTATACCTACTACGCGCCGTCGGTGAAGGGTCGCTTCACCATCTCCAGGGACGACTCCCAGAGCACGGTCACGCTGCAGATGAACAGCCTCAAGGAGGATGACACGGCCACCTACTACTGCGGTAAAGATGACGATGGTTATGGTGGTTATTATGGTGCTGGTGGCACCGACGCCGTCAGCATGTCCCCACATCCCAGTGCTGGGTCCCCACATCTTCCTGAAGCCCTTCATCCAACCCAGATACTTGACCCAAGCTTCCACCTTTTGCTTCAACCTTGACTGGTTTTGCCCTAAATCCCAACCATTCATACCACATCTCAGCAAATTGTGCCAAAATTTGACCAGTTTTTCCCCAATCTTGACACTTTGCCCCAAGTGTCAACCGCTTCCTCCAAATTCAACCACTTTTGCACCAAATCTTGACGTTTTCCCCCAACCCTCAACAACTTTTTGCCAAAATCTTGACTGTTTGCCAAGGTGTTGACCAGCTTTTGCCCAAATCTTGACTATTTGCCCCACCCTTCACCAGTTTTTGCCCAAACCTCAACACTTTGCCCAGCCCTTTCATGAGTTTTGGCTCCAGTCTTTACACTTTGCGGCCAATTTCAGCTGCTTTGGCCCCAAACCTCGACTCTTTTTGGTACGAATGCTTGAGATTTAGATCAAAATCAGCCAAGGTTGGCAACAAGGGTTTGAAGATCAGAGCAAGAACCTGGGTTGGGTGAAGGGTTTGAGGAAGACGTGGGGACCCAGCGCAGGGATGTGGGGACACGGTGACAGCGTCAGAGCTACCATCAGCACAATCACCACCACCACCATCAGCATGTTTGCCGCAGTAGTAGGTGGCCGTGTCGTCCTCCTTGAGGTCCTTCATCTGCAGCGTGACCGTGCTCTGGGAGTTGTCCCTGGAGATGGTGAAGCGACCCTTCACCGACGGCGCGTAGTAGGCGCTACCACCGCTGGTAATACCCGCGACCCACTCCAGACCCTTCCCGGGCGCCTGTCGCACCCAGAACATGGTGAAGCTGCTGAAGGTGAAGCCGGAGGCCTTGCAGCGGAGGGTGAGGGACTTTCTTGGTTTCTGATGGATCAGACCCCTTCTCCATCCTCCTCCTCCTCCTCCTGGCCGCCCTCCCAGGTAAGACCCTCATCTTCCCCCCCGCCATGGACACCCCCCTCCCCGCCCGCGGAGATGGAGGATGAGCGATGGGGGGACCTTGGGGGTGACTCAATTGTCTCCTTCCTCTCTCCCTCCCCAGGGCTGCGGGCGGCCGTGGAGCTGATGGAGTCCGGAGGGGGCCTCGTGACACCCGGGGGGTCCCTCACCCTCCGCTGCAAGGCCTCCGGCTTCACCTTCAGCAGCGTCACCATGTTCTGGATTCGACAGGCCCCTGGGAAGGGGCTGGAGAATGTCGCGTTTATTTACAGTGATGGTGACATAAGATACGTGCCGTCGGTGAAGGGTCGCTTCACCATCTCCAGGGACAACTCCCAGAGCACGGTCACGCTGCAGATGAACAGCCTCAAGGAGGACGACACGGCCACCTACTACTGCGCCAAAGCTGATGATGGTATTGGTGGTGCTGGTTGTTGTGGTGGACCTGACCCCCACATCGTGACCAAACAGAACCCCAACCCCCGGGGTCAACTCCAGAGCCGCAGGGATGTGGGGACACGGTGACAGCGTCAGAGCTACCATCAGCACAATCACCACCACCACCATCAGCATGTTTGCCGCAGTAGTAGGTGGCCGTGTCGTCCTCCTTGAGGTCCTTCATCTGCAGCGTGACCGTGCTCTGGGAGTTGTCCCTGGAGATGGTGAAGCGACCCTTCACCGACGGCGCGTAGTAGGCGCTACCACCGCTGGTAATACCCGCGACCCACTCCAGACCCTTCCCGGGCGCCTGTCGCACCCAGAACATGGTGAAGCTGCTGAAGGTGAAGCCGGAGGCCTTGCAGCGGAGGGTGAGGGACCCCCCGGGTGTCACGGTGCCCCCTCCGGACTCCGTCAGCTCCACGGCCGCCCGCAGCCCTGGGGAGGGAGAGAGGAAGGAGACAATTGAGTCACCCCCAAGGTCCCCCCATGGCTCGTCCTCCATCTCCGCGGGCGGGGAGGGAAGATGAGGGTCCTACCTGGGAGGGCGGCCAGGAGGAGGAGGAGGAAGGTGGTGGCCAAGTGGGTGCCCATGGTGGGGAAGAGAAGAGGAAGGGTTTGAAGGGGAGGAGGAGGACGCCGGGGATGGTGCCTCCATGGTGGGACCCAGGGGTCTTTAAAGGCCCCGGGATGGGGGGCGGACCCCTCCCATGCAAATTCCTGCCCAGAGCCGTGTCCTGCCCGGGCTCCAGCTTCACCTTCAGCAGCTTCGGCATGGAATGGATTCGACAGGCGCCCGGGAAGGGGCTGGAGTTGGTCGCAGCTATTAGCAAGGATGGTGGTTACACAAACTACGCGCCGTCGGTGAAGGGTCGCTTCACCATCTCCAGGGACAACTCCCAGAGCACGGTCACGCTGCAGATGAAGAGCCTCAAGGAGGACGACACGGCCACCTACTACTGCGCCAAAGAAGCTGGTGCTGGTGGTGCTGGTTATTGTGGTGGCCCCGACCCCCACATCGTGACCAAACTCTCTGCCCTGCTCTGTGGAGATCTCACCTGGAGCCCTTTGTCCGGCTCTGGAGTCCTCAGCCCAGGAAGGACGGACATGGCAGCCACAACCTCATTGAGCCCCAACATCCCTCAGCTCTTCCCCCAAATCTCAGCACCTCCCGAAAGCCCGGACTGGACCCTTCCTCCCAAGAGGACGACACGGCCACCTACTACTGCGCCAAAGAAGCTGGTGCTGGTGGTGCTGGTTATTGTGGTGGCCCCGACCCCCACATCGTGACCAAACTCTCTGCCCTGCTCTGTGGAGATCTCACCTGGAGCCCTTTGTCCGGCTCTGGAGTCCTCAGCCCAGGAAGGACGGACATGGCAGCCACAACCTCATTGAGCCCCAACATCCCTCAGCTCTTCCCCCAAATCTCAGCACCTCCCGAAAGCCCGGACTGGACCCTTCCTCCCAACCCAGACCCCTGCACCCAACCCAGCTCCTTGCCCTCAGCCTCGGCCATTGTCCCCAAGACCATTCTTCTTCAGCCCAGTGAGGGCCCCCGCAGCCTGGACCTCCGAATGGTGCCCCAACCCCAGCCCAGAGCAGAACCCCAACCTCCGGGTCACCTCCAGAGCCAGAAACGTGCCCTCATGGAGTACAGTGAGGGTACAAGGTGTCGGGGACGGGGCCACCATCAACCCAACAACCACCACGCCTTCAAGCCGGATGGTTCTGATTCTGTGACCGAGGGCTGGGATGTGGGGACACGGGGTCGGGGTCGGGGCCACCAGCATAACCATAACCACAACCAGCACCAGCACATTTGGCGCAGTAGTAGGTGGCCGTGTCGTCCTCCTTGAGGCTGTTCATCTGCAGCGTGAGCGTGCTCTGGGAGTTGTCCCTGGAGATGGTGAAGCGACCCTTCACCGACGGCGCGTAATCTGTGCCACCATTGCTGTAAATACTCGCGACGTATTCCAGCCCCTTCCCAGGGGCCTGTCGAATCCAGAACATGGAGAAGCTGCTGAAGGTGAAGCCGGAGGCCTTGCAGCGGAGGGTGAGGGACCCCCCGGGTGTCACGAGGCCCCCTCCGGACTCCGTCAGCTCCACGGCCGCCCGCAGCCCTGGGGAGGGAGAGAGGAAGGAGACAATTGAGCTACCCCCAAGGTCCCCCCATGGCTCGTCCTCCATCTCAGCCCAGCCCAGACCCCTCCACCCATCCCAGCTCCTTGCCCTCAGCCTCGGCCATTGTCCCCAAGACCATTCTTCTTCCACCCACTGAGGGCCCCCGCAGCCTGGACCTCCTAATGGTGCCCCAAGCCCAGACCAGTGAAGAACCCCAACCCCCGGGGTCACCTCCAGAGACAGAAACGTGCCCTCATGGAGCACAGTGAGGGTACACGGTGCCGGGGACAGGGCCACCATCAACCCAACCACCACCACGAGCAGCTTTGGCGCAGTAGTAGGTGGCCGTGTCGTCCTCCTTGAGGCTGTTCATCTGCAGCGTGACCGTGCTCTGGGAGTTGTCCCTGGAGATGGTGAAGCGACCCTTCACCAACGGCGCGTACCAGGTGCTACTACCATCCTTGTTAATACCCGCGACCAACTCCAGCCCCTTCCCGGGCGCCTGTCGCACCCAGTCCTTGGCGAAGCTGCTGAAGGTGAAGCTGGAGGCCTCGCAGCAGAAGATGAGTGTGGGAGAGTAAGGGAAGGTTGGCGAGGAGGACTGTAGATATGCTCAAGTGACTCCCATGTGGGGTCTGGAGAACACATCTGTCACACTCATTGTTGCTCAGTTTTGTGTGCTCAACGAGTAGAACATCTGCCCTCGGATAACATAGTCCTGGGATGGACTCAGGGGAAACTTCTCAAACACCTCTGAGATCCCTGCCCTGCTGTTGGAGAGATCGAAGCCCAGCAGAAGACTCTGCCAGAATGCTTGAAATACACCCCAAACAGCAAGTGGGAGCTCCCCCGCTCCATCACTCCCAGGTTAACGAGGACTCTTGTGCTAATTAATAAGGACTCTGGCTCCGCGGTGCCTGCCTCTGCCCGGGGGCTTTTTCAGAGGTTCCCCGATCCATGAGGTATTGACATTAACTTGTTCTTTGCCCTTAATCCGTGGTTTTGTGGGTTTTTCCTGAGTCCTGCCTGCACCGGCGCACACACGGGCCGACGTGGTGCTGAGGGACATGGGTCAGTGGTGGGTTTGGGGGCTTCAGGAAGATGTGGGGACCCAGGGCAGGGATGTGGGCACACGGTGACGGGGTCGGGGCCACCAGCAGCATAAGGAGCACCACAATAACCACCATAAGCATCTTTGGCGCAGTAGTAGGTGGCCGTGTCGTCCTCCTTGAGGCTCTTCATCTGCAGCGTGACCGTGCTCTGGGAGTTGTCCTTGGAGATGGTGAAGCGACCCTTCACCGACGGCGCGTAATCTGTGCCACCATTGCTGTAAATACTCGCGACGTATTCCAGCCCCTTCCCAGGGGCCTGTCGAATCCAGAACATGGAGAAGCTGCTGAAGGTGAAGCCGGAGGCCTTGCAGCGGAGGGTGAGGGACCCCCCGGGTGTCACGAGGCCCCCTCCGGACTCCGTCAGCTCCACGGCCGCCCGCAGCCCTGGGGAGGGAGAGAGGAAGGAGACAATTGAGTCACCCCCAAGGTCCCCCCATGGCTCGTCCTCCATCTCCGCAGGCGGGGAGGGAAGATGAGGGTCGTACCTGGGAGGGCGGCCAGGAGGAGGAGGATGGAGAAGGGGTCTGATCCTCCAGACACCCCAGGGATCCCTCACCCTCCGCTGCAAAGGCTCCGGCTTCGATTTCAGCAACACCTGGATGCAATGAGTGCGACAGGCACCTGGGAAGTGGATGATGTGTTTTGTGGGTATTTGGAGCGGTGGTGGTTACACAGAATACGCGCCGTCGGTGAAGGGTCGCTTCACCATCTCCAGGGACAACTCCCAGAGCACGGTCACGCTGCAGATGAACAGCCTCAAGGAGGACGACACGGCCACCTACTACTGCGCCAAAACTGCTGGTGGTGGTTATGGTTGTAGTTATGGTGCTACTCCATCACCGTGTCCCCACATCCCTGCCCTGGGTCCCCACATCTTCCTCAAACCCTTCACCCAACCCAGGTCCTTGTCCCGAACTTTGACCCTTTCCTTCATCCTTGAGTGATTTAGCCCCAAATCACAACCCTTCGTACCAAAACTTGACTAATTTCCCCCCAATCCTTACTCCTGCTTGAAGTCTCAACCAATTTCTTACCAAATCTCCACATTTTGCCCTGAAGTCTCAACCGGTTTCGCAACAAATCTTGACCACTTGCCCCAGTCCTCAATCACTTTGGGCCCAAATCTTGACTCTTTGCTGAGACCTTGACCAATTTTTGCCCAAATCTTGACAGTTCACAGTCAATCTTAAAGGCTTTTGTCCCCAACCCCCCTTTGCTGTGAGTCCCAGACCCCGACTCAGAGCCCAGACCCTTCCTGTGCCCCGACTTACACCTTCCTGACCCCTTTGCCCCCACCCCAGACCCCTCTCCTCACTCCCGACTCTGCCCCCACAACGGACCCCTTTCGGGACATGGTGCCGGGTTCGGGGCCACCAACATCTTCCTCCGACCCTTCACCCAACCCAGGTGCTTGCCCTGAGCTTCAACCCTTTGCCCCCAACCTCAACTGGTTTTGCCCCAAGTCTCAACCTTTGTTCAGGTGGGCTTGGGGCCAACGGTGAAGGCTCGGGGCAAGGACCTGGGTTGGGAGCAGGGTCCATGTTTGGTGGAAGGGGCCAGGCTGCGTGTGGGGTGGTGGCCCGACTCAGAGCCCAGACCCTTCCTGTGCCCCGACTTACACCTTCCTGACCCCTTTGCCCCCACCCCAGACCCCTCTCCTCACTCCCGACTCTGCCCCCACAACGGACCCCTTTCGGGACATGGTGCCGGGTTCTGGGCCACCAAGGCAGGAATTTGGGCACCCAGCAGGATTTTGGGCTGGTTTCAGGGGAGTTGAGGCGCAGGGCGAATGTGTTTGGCACCAGGGAGGGGTTTTGGGGAGATGCTGG